TGAAGCAGAAGATAAAGATCATGAAGCCCATGGTATCATCTTTCACGGTAGGGAACTTGATGAAGATATGCCCGACTATATGGCCCCCGAAAGTCCATTAGATGTGGAGGGTATCTTCGATGATGAGGTCATGCCTGGCTCGTCCGAGCCTGTCGCTCCTGCCGCTGAGCCCAGCGCCCCTGCTGAGCCTGCTACCACTGTTTCCGGTGTCGCAATTCTCCCCCAAGCTGCCACTAGATGTTCCGACTTATGCCAAGGGTCGCTGCCTGTTTTTGGCTGTCCTGCTATAGGAAAGACACATAACCGCGACAATCGCAGAAGCCGGAAGGCTGCCAAGAAAGCCGTCAAACCCAATGCTAGGTCAACCATGTTTGAGTTTGCTTGTTCTAATAACTCCCAGATGGGTTTTACTAATGAGCAGTATAGTATCAATCATGTTAGACTCAGTAAAGATAGGATAGACTTGGGTGATGAGTCGCAGTGCGAACAGCTGGACTACCAGATAGATGAAGCCGCTGAAGCCGCGCCCCCCACACCTGTGGGCCTCCATCCCTTGCACATCCGGTTCGCCTTGGCAGTACATCAATAGGAAGAGAGGAGGCGCTGCATTCATTAGGAAGCTAGCGCATCAGGTCAAAGAGTCAAAACGGTTATTTCAAAGTTTTACTAAAAGAGCTGAACGTGTTCTTAATCATGGTGGTACTGTCACATTTGAATGGCCCCGTCCTTGCACAGGATGGAAACGTCCAGATGTAGTAGCATTCTTTGATGAACACCCCCAGTTCGTCCGTGTAGACTTTGATGGTTGTGCTGTAGGCTTAACATCCCGCGATGGCCTTCCAATCAAGAAGCCGTGGAGACTTATGTCCACCTCCCAACGCATAGTAGATGCCTTCCAGGATAAACGTTGCAAGTGCCAGCACCCCCATGCCAAATGTGAGGGAGCTGAGACTACTCGCTCCGCTAATTATCCACCTGCAATGACCCAACTAATAGCACAGTCCTTATTCCCTTCAAAATGCGTCCAGCAGCCCGTTCCTGCCATGCCGTGTGGACCCGGGTCCAGCGAACCGCAGCCACATAGGGAGATAGAACAACATCTAAAGCACGTTTCCCCATTAGCTGGTTTCGAAGACCTTGCCATAGCCGTAGAGTCCGATCCCACTGCTACTAGGCTGGTTACAGAACTTTTAGACCATGAACAGCTTTTATCCCAAGCAGTAGGCCTTGAACCCGACAGTCCCCCCACTGCCGAAGTTAAAGCCATGGTGACTAAGCTCTTATCCCGTGCCGAGATGTTAAGTAACCATAAGGCATTAGATGCAATTCGCGCAGAAGCAGACGGATTAGTAAAAGCTGGCACCTGGGATCTAAGTACCGTCCGCGAAAAAGAAGATGTCCGCAAAGAAGCGAAGGCTTCTGGTGTATCAGTACACTTTGGACAACTAATGACGATTGCTTCGATCAAATTTTATGAATTGGCGGAGCATCTGCACAAGATGAAAGGCAGAATCGTCTATCGCGGAGACTGTGCCAAAGACGAGCACGGGGCCGCAGCCGTCTACCAAGAACTAGGCGCGAACCCCACCTCCGTACAGGGTTTAAATGCATGCCTGGCCTATGGGTCGCTGCCGGGAAACCGCGCGACAGCCGCTGACGCGGTAAAGGCCTACGTGCAGGCTCTGCTGTCTTCTAAGTACAAGACCTGGATCGAACTCCCGCCGGAGCTTAGACCCAAGTACTGGAAACAACAGTTTGTCCGCCCTGTCGTCCTTTTAATTAAGGCGCTGTATGGTCATCCTGACGCCGGAGGCCTTTGGGAGCAACACCTAAAGGTAATAATCCGCAACTTAGGAGGCCAGGAAGTTCCAGAGTATCCAGGGAATTTTTACTTCCCTGATACTAAACTCTTGTTATCCACCTATGTAGACGACTTAACGCTCGCTGGCCCCGCAGACCAGCATGATGCCTTTTGGTCCAAACTTACATCGGTAGTAGACATAGAACCTCCTGAGCCCATCTATAGGATCCTCGGCAGGAACCACATAGTCTCAACCCTTAATAAAGTAAATGGTAATGAAAAGTGTGCTGCCTTTAACGCCCAGCCTGGTATGATCTTTGACATGGCCGACTATGCCCAGCAGACCGTCGAGCTATATAAAAGTATCACCGGTACATCTAAGTTGAAGCATGCCGCAACGCCTTTTCCCCCAGATGGTTCCATTTCACCAGAAGATGAAGAATCTAAGGGAGAGCTGGCTCCCAACGCACGCCGCATTCTTATGAAAGCCTTATGGCTTGGTAGGTTAGCGCGTCCCGACATCATTAAACCAATTAATGACCTTGCTACCAAGGTCCAATCCTGGTCTAGAGCCGATGACAAGCGAGTTCTTAGGTTAATCCAGTATATAGCCTCTACAACCCATTATAGACTTGTTGGTACCCTTCAAGATAAGCCAGAGGATCTAGAGCTCCATTTGTATGTTGACGCCGACTTCGCCGGTGACAAGCAAATGCCCGCTCCACCTCTGGTGGGTTTCTAGTGCTTTCTGGTCCGAACTCCCACTTCCCTCTCGCGTGGGTTAGTAAGCGTCAAACGTCGACCTCCCGGTCCACCACCGAGAGCGAAGTTGTTAGCTTAGCCCATTCTCTATATCAGGAAGGCCTTCCAGCATTGCAATTATGGGAGCTGTTGCTCGCACGCTCCATAACGCTTAGGATATACGAAGATAATCAGGCTACTATCTTAGTTGTAAAGAAAGGATATAGTCCTAAACTTCGTCATATCACAAGAACACACAAAGTTAATTTATCTTGCCTAGCTGAAATCTTCAGGGATGACACCGCTCTCATAGAGTACATCCACACTGATGATCAAGCTGCAGATATATTCACAAAAGCTTTGCCGCCGCACAAATGGAACGCTGCACTTATCCTTTTAGGTATACGTACAGACCTTCCTTTAGACCTCAAAACCAACACATAGGTCGCTGTTGACATCCGTCGCGCGACATATGCCGTAGGTGCCTGTAGTGTGTATAGTGTGGGTCCGGCGAGGGGGGGGAGTTGAAATATATCGACCCCTGAGCCCCCACTATATGTACATATATCAGGTAGGTCCCAATAGTGGTTTAGCTTAGCTATGAGTCCCATAATCTCCAATTCATAACATCCGAACTAATGTACAGATGTTGCACCGTCTTATCTAGAAGCGTTAGATAAGTAGAGAACCGTAGGTAGAGCTAGGTAGTGTCCCTTAACCAACAATCACCGGTCAAGGGTTTAATTCGCTACGCTATCGATCCTATGGCTCAAGTGCCCCCGTGGAAAAGGGAAGGGGTATCTTGGTTGATGCAGGGTTGTGGTGAATTAGGAACCCTTGTTTCTTGGGTGTCCGGTTTTCCCCCCCCTGTTTGTCTGGTTATCAGCCGTAAGGCTTTTGTTCGAAAGGGTTCCTAAATTCATCGCAAACTTGCTTTAGGCCCCCCCGAACGTTCATTGTCACTGTCTTTGTTTTTGCATGCCCTCAGATAGTCCGGAAGGGGTCGCTGCTGATCACAGCGCGATAGTCGAAACGCCGGCAAGCGGATCCGAGGCGGCTGTAGCAGAGGAAGGTGTTGACGATTTAAATCCACCGACCTCCGCGGCAGTAGCTGAGGCATCTGCGAGCTGGGCCGACCTATCTGAGGTTACATCTGCGCCCGCGTCATCATCGGCTGGCCCATCTTTGATTCCCGTGAAGGAAGAGCAGGACGAAGTTGACAGGTATCAGATCGACGAGGCGCTCAAACTTTCCAAGGTCTTAGCAACAATTGCATACGCGGAGGAGGTCGCAGACGATCCCGTCGCGACAGGGGACACATCTTTGCCTTCTGATATTGATCTGACAATCTTTGACACTGCCGAGCCGGATAATCCAGCAGAAGCAGCTTTTGGAGACATAGATCGATCTCGCGAAGAGGCACAGGCTGAGTCCACTGAAGCTCCTCCCGCACACACTGAGGCCGAAGTAGAAACAACTGATCTTCTGGACTTAGGTGGCGAAACAACTGCAGCCGAAGCATCCGTAGTTGAAGCATCCGTTGCATCCGAACCTAATCCAGTGGTCGCAGACCCATCCGGTGTCGCGACAGAGGCCAACACATTAGATTCTTCAGAAATAGTCCCACCACCTACTAGCCCTAACTTAGTTCCCCCTGGAACTGAACCACTTAGGACTGGTCATAGCCCTGCAGGTCCTTCCCAGCCGTCTAAGCCTAGACAGCGCAGCCGTAGGGGTTGTCAGAACACCCGCAAGCAGGAAGCCTTAAGGGAGTGGCGGGGAGATTTTGAAGTGTTCCAGCGTTGGCTTTACGAGAATTCTGGAGGGAGGATTGTAGGAGGCCATTGGTTGCAGAGAATCTCATACGACGACGCTGACGAGGACCAGAGGTGGCTCATCGCCAACTTTCACTTGTTAGTTGAGAGGTTCACTACATCCAACAATTTGGTCCTTGCATTCCATATCTTCCCAAATTACCAGTCTTGGGCACAGAAGCACGGTTTAGATCGTAGGCGGGGCCCTGCACACGCACAGCAGGTTATCGACTTCGGTGATCTTCCACCCTTTCGGATCATCAACAGAGAGATCTTAGGTTGTGAAAATCCATCCGTAGCATCTTGGGATAGGTATAATAGATACGTAGGCCCATATCAACCTGCTAAAGCCAAGTCGGAGGCCGCAGCCCCAACACCCGTTGGTGGCGCGGCGGAGAGTGGTTACATAGGTGAATTGCATCCGCCCAAAGCGGGTCCAAAGCAGCCGGACCATCCTCCGCCGAGTGCATCCGCAGCAGACGATTGGAGTAATTGGCAGCCCACATTAAGGCCAGCTAGTCATCCAGTTAGACCCCCAAAAGTAACCACATCAGTCCGTGTAGTCCCAACTCTTAATAATCCAGAAACTAAGCAACTTAGTGTTAGCGGAGTCCCATTGCCACCTCCACCAAAGGCTCCGGCCGCTCCTAAGGGTGACACTGCCGCTAATAAAAGATTGTTGCCACCACCACCAACTACTAAGCCTCCAGGTCTCCCTAAGAAACCACCAAGTGTTAACTTCCCACAGTTTCCACCTCCTAGGGATCCACCTGTTGTAGCCACATCCTCATCTAGTGCAGGCGTCCCGCCATTAGCACCACCTAAGCTTCCACCACCTAGAATTCCACCGCCCCCACAACAACCTCCACCAACGCCTGAGGAGCTCGCAGCCAGCGAGCCCGCACGCGTGGCGCGAGAAGATCCCGGAGAGCCTCCCGAGGACCCAGATCCTCCAGGTGATCCAGATCAGGAAGGGGCAGAGGAAGGGGTTGCGGAAGACTTAGAGGAGGAGGAGCGTCCAGAAGAGGACGAGGTAGTTGAAGTTGAAGCGGAAGAGGAGACAGAGGAGATAGAGGTAGAAGAGGAAGGAGAGCCAGTAGAACCTGAATTTCCTGATTTTTCGCCTAGGGATAGAAACCCCAAAAGAGCACACTCAAACCCACCAATTCCTGTTAATCTAGTCCCCAGACAGGTTCGTGAACGTCTTGAGATCAGCCAGAATATCTTTCGAGCTCGCCAAGAAATTGGACTTGCGAGAAGACCGGTTGCCCTTAGACCTGCCGTACCCGTCTATCCAGAGACACGCACCGATCCTACAGGAACCTGGGTTAGAGTTGCGGGGCCCCCTATACCTCATCACACCCCTAATACAGTCCCATACATAGTCCCATCTAACGCAGCTGCAGTTCCATTTGCTGACATCGACCCTTATCAACTACCAGATAGTTATTGGCGAGATCCGTCACTTAGAGGACAGCATACTGTGTTAGCGACTCCAAACCTAGATCCAACCGACATAGTTAGTGTGACTCTTGACGAGCCTGACACTCAATCGGAGGGTGAAGAGGATCCAACTCACTTTGCCCGAAGGATCTTGGCCGAGGACGCCATCGCCACAGCCCACGAAGCCAAACGTGGACCCGTGGAAGCCGGATTCTCTGAACGCAGACCGCCGAAGCCTCCTTCGGCACCACCGCCTAAAAGGCAGCGTGTCAAATTCTCTACGATAGATCGAACTGCTCCTGCAGCGCCCGCTGCACCAGTAGAGCCTGCGGCAACAGAACTTCCTAAGGCGGCATCGATTCCTCCCTGGCGTCAGCCGGTAGGACCGCCACCAAAGGTTTCTGAGGTCGCTGCGTCTCGCGCGACGAGCCCAAGATCTAGGACTAGAGCTTTGTCTGAAAGACCGGCATCTCCTCAACGTGCACCGCCCAATAGGCCATCTAGGGGTAGGGCTTCTAATAAAATAGATACCCCACCATCTAACCCTCCTAAGAGATCATCCACCGTTCCAGTGCCCATTAGGGGAAGAAGTGTTGCAGCCGCACCCGTAGTTGTTCC